CTGAGATAGAAATTATTACAAAAAATTTTGTTTAAAAGTTTTTAGTTGAATTCTGTAAGTTGTCTATCGGGTATGTCATATAATTTACATTGATATATATTTTTCCATTCTGAAAGTTCAACACTGTACTCTTTGTTTAAAATTGTTTGATAACACGGTTTACAACTTTTTGAGTACAAGATTTTCATAGAAAAAGCTGACAGTGATTTGAAATTACCATCATCGTCAAATAAATCTTTAACATGTAAAATCCCACCTGCTATCCAGTTTTTAAAAAATGATTTATTTCCTCTATAAACAAAATTACAATTGTTCCATATCGGCTGTTGAAGAACATTATCGGAAAGCATTTTGTTTAAAGAACAAGGCTTACATTCATTGAAGCAACACATTTTTGATTAAAAATAGGTAGTTTCCCTAGTTTCTCCATATTTTCTATCTTTCTATCGGAGAAACGTAACACGTAAAGAGCATTTTTTTTTTTTTTTTTTTTTTTACAAAAGCCGTCAAAAATTTTGTACAAAATACATTTGTTTCTTAACAACTTAGGTACCCAAGCCGCTTCTAAAGCTTTTAATTTACATGTACATTCAATATCAACGATTAAGAGGCCAACTTTTGAGATTCTACCTGTTAGCGTGTTTCGTTTTATTCATTCATTTTTATCCCAAATGAAGTTGTAAATTAGACGTTGTATTTTTTAGGTAAGCAATATCAGGAAGATTAAGTATTGAAGCAACATATGTACATGTAAGTTTATATATAGTAAGTGTCTTTATTATATATGATTTACCAAATAACGTCAGTTTCCTTTTTATTCAGGAATCAAAAAGTTTTTTCAAAATCGTTATAAATTTTAATCCAATTTTTAATGTAAACATTCTTACTTGTCGTTTCCAATGAAGATTCCTAAGCATCTTACTGCTTTATTCGTGATTTTTATACCATAACAAAATATCTAACAAAATGCAGGGTTCTCCATGAGCTGTTTTACTGAGTCGGCCTCGACACAGTAAAATTTTCCCCGACACAGTAACGATTCAAATTATATGCGTGTTACAGAGTAAAAAAAAATTGCGACACAGTAAGATCTGTGATAATTAGAAAATCAGAATATAAATCCTCTCTAACTGAAACTTTAATCAAACAAATCTACGGTCTTTCAATTTTTAAGGCTCATAACTAATTATCTCTTAATTAGGGCACTTTGTCTTGCTTCACTTTACATAATCAATTATCTCCTAGACCCTTGCTGGACTTTACGCATGAAGAAACAAAGACAAATAATTTGTTTTCACACTTCCATGTAACCGTATAACTGCTAGTTGCATGTTTCAATATTATTTTAAAAACTAAAAAAAACATTTAGAGTATATGTCTTATTACTTCAGAACCACGTCTCTAGAATTTTGTTGGCACTGTGAGTCAAACATCGTTACGGTACCGTAGTAATCATTTCATTGATGTAAATGTATTGTTGAAAAATTTAAAGGCAACCCCTAAAAATATTTTAAGATTCTAATGTTCCTTTTTTAAATTCGTAAATTCGATTAACTGACAAAAATCACGGCAAATTTACTTTTGAACTGGGGAAGTAGATCGATTTTATCGACAAGAACTTCCTTCTAGTGTAAAATATGAAGTTAAATATACATCGTATTTACAAAAATATCAAGGTTTAATATACAGTTGATAGTGATATAAGTATATTATTTAAGGTTTTTTGTTATATCGTACGTATTTTTTTAAAGTTGTGTGTTTTTTTTTTTTTTTTTTTTTTTTTTTTTGGGGGGGGGGGGGGTACAGTTGGTTTGTCTTATAGTACATTGTATGTACATTATTATATGGAAAATTGTTTGAAATATCCATTCTATTAATTTATATTTATTAATATGTACGATCATACCATATGTATAACGAATTGGTGATTCAAAAAAGTTGAATGTGTGTGTGTGTATGTGCGTGAGGAGGTGTGTGAGGAGGTGTGTGTTATTATTTTGAATAGTGGTCCGGCTGCGAATTTGATCGCGAAAATACCGCGAATATGAGTGGTTCACGTAAAGTCTGCAACACAGTAAAATTTCAAATGATGGAGAACCCTGAAAATGCATTTTGTTTCATGTGTATTTACTTTTGATCCCGCATGTTCACAAAATTGTAATTTATCCAGAATGCGCTTCATTGATATTTCGGCTTGTAAGGCTACAGTTAAGTCATTCGCATGTTGGATTTTTCTAATTTCGCAATTATTGATTGATAATCTTTTATATCCTTATCACATTTTATCTTAATAGCCAAAATTTCTGCGACAAAGAGATATACGAGAGCGGAAATAGGACATCCTTGCCTAATGCCTCTTGTCATTTCGCAGGTTTTAGAAAGCCAGCCGTTGTTTTTCATTTTAAAAGTTTTTGTGAGTAAGACAATTCATCTTTATCAAAAATATCTTTAAGGGCTTTATAATAGAAGGACCAATTAATTTTCAAAAAACAAAAAACAAAAACAAAAAAAAACAAAAAACAAAAAAAAAAAACAAAAAACAAAAAACAAAAAAAAATTGATAAAATTCACAAGGAAATTCATCTAGTCCGGGTGCTTTTTTCTTCTTTTTTTTTCATGTTATCAACAGCCTCTTTATACTTTTCAAATTTCTTGGTTTTTTTTTTTTTTTTTTTTTTTTTTTTTTTTTTTTTTTTTTTTTTTTTTGGTTAATTGTTTAACGTCCCTCTCGAGAATTTTTCATTCATATGGAGACGCCTCTTCATATGTTGGAAATTTCTCTAGTTAATATTTTATCTTCTTTACTTAATTTAGGGATATCCTCTATCTCAGATAAATATTTATTTTTCATTTTTTTTGTTTGAAATGTCTTTACTCGTGTAAAAATCACTATAGAAAAATACATTTCACCTAAAATGACATTAGTTTTACTGATTTTATTCCCTTCTATTGTTTTTATTTCTCTAATTATGTTTGAGGATTGGTTGCGCTTTTCTAAATTTAAAAAAATATATTGAGTTTCTCCCCCCCCCCCCCCTCCTCGATCCATTTAATTTTAGATCTTATCTGCACAACTTTAGATTTTTTGTCGTATATAGCGTCTAATTCCGCTTCTAAAGTTTTCAATCTTTTGTAATCAAAATTATCAACATTTCCTTCTCCCATATCTTCTATTTTGCGTTCTATTCATCTTATCTTTTGTTTATTTTATTCTTCATTTTTTTGCAAAATAAATAAAGAAATCTTTAACCTTTCGTTTAATCAACTCCAATGTCATTATAGGGCTTAAAGAGGATAAAGAGGAATCTATACTTTGAATAATATCTAAAATTCCTTTTTTGTATTTTTCATTATCGAGATGGGAAACATTAAGTTTCCAATATCCGAGACTTTTTTTCGTTTTAATAATATCAAAACTAAATCTATGGTCACTAATTCGACTTCCGTTTGAATGGGCACCTGAATTTTTTCTAACCTTAATATCTGCTATGTTATAATAAAAACATTCGCTAATAAAACATCATTTATTCTACATTTAGGGTCATTTTTGCATCACACCAAGTAAAGTCTGACATACCTAGATTTTGTTTTGCCCATATGTCATCCATATTATAATGTCTTATCAAATCTTTTAAATAATTAACACTTTTGTCAGCATTATTGCTTAACTGGCAATTACAGTCTCCACATAGTATATTTTCGTTGACACAACTTTTTTAAATAAAATATTTTAATTTTTTGAAAAATTCACACCTTTTCTTAATTTCATTAGGTGCATATATATTAACTATTGTAAAAATATTACCGTTAACATCAAGATAGATCAAAATTTTCTTACCATCAGTAGACTTTTTGACATTTATTATGTTTGCAACTAATTTTTCATTGAATAGAACAGACACACCTACTAAATGCTTAGTCACTATACGCGTGAAATGTTTTCCTCTCCAGTTTAAATTATACATAGATTCATCTTTTTTTCAACAAAATGTGTTTTCTGCTACAAAATAATATTTAAGTTGCATTCTTTCAACCATGAATGATTTTTTCGTCTTTTTTTCAGGGGAATATAACCCCCTTACATTAACTGAGATAAATTCTAACTTTTCCATAGGAAATAATCTTAAAATGTTAGATATGTTATAGAAAAAAAAAAAATATCGTTACTTTTCATTCCAATCCGCTGATCGAGAATCAAAGTCCTGTGACATTCAAGCATTACACAGTATTTCCTTTATTTGTCCTTCTTAGCCGGGTTGTGTGAATCAGATTCCGATTATTCATCTAAACCTGACATGGATTCAGAATCCGATTGATTTCTTAAATCATGTACATGTAACATCTGTGCAATGTCCCTTTGTTTGGAGTTAACTTTCGGTTTTTGTTTTCGCTTCGGTTAGCTCCACTTTTTACGTTTCTGTATTTTATTTCATAAAAAGAGGCACAGATATGTTGCTTCACAAGGCTACAGTACTACATTCAATAAAGTCAAAGCTGGACATATAGAAAAGAATAAACTTTATATAAATGCCTCTAGATTAGGTTTCAATATTTTACAATATCAACAGATGTTTAATAATGACTCATAATTTTTGAAAACGTATTCACTTACATAGAGAAAAAAGTCAGTAGTAATTGCAACAATTTTCAATGTCATTCATTTTTAATAGTTATAAAAAATTTTCTACATTGGAAAACTCACTATATTAAACATATCATTTATTTATCGTTACATTAATTACATGTGCATTTCGATTTATTCCTTAAATTTTAACCTATACATGTACAATTATTTATTTTAAAAACTATGCCAAAATAATGGTCTCATGAATGTCTCAATATTTTTTTCATTCAATATAGTTCACTATTATATATAAAACGCACAAGTAAGAATAAAACATTGTAGACATTCTAGTCTATTTAAGATTTTTCAGGATGTTAGTAGGCTTTAACATTACATTGATTAAAGCATGAACAAACAAGATATACATTTTTTAAGTCTAATAATAACCACGGTGTTTTTGAAGTACGAAATAACAGAACACGATACCAAAGATTTGTAGCGGCAGTGAATAATTCAGCCTGGTCCCTGAAAATATAAAATGTGTATCAGAAAAACAAGTTTGGTCTTTTGTTTGTTTAAATTTGTTTAACGTCCCTTTGAGAATTTTCCACTGATTGAGACGCTACCACTTGCAAATCTAGATCTGTACTCGGCACATACGACCTTTGAGCAGTGAGGGATCTTTTTTGTGCCAGCACCTACTGCGACAAAGGACCTTGGTCATTCTTCTTTATTCATGCGGTCTAATACGAAAGACTAAACTCCACGTCCCGCAGTGGGAATCGAACCCGCAACGTAAGAATCAACTCCTTACTCTGCGACTCTAAAGCAGACATTTTAGAGTAATCAGTATAATTCAGTTTGTTAACATTTAAGTCACAATTATCACAAGAGGAAGAATCCCCTCCCATTCCAAAAAAGGACAAAATCCAACCAAATACATTATAGTAGACATAGCAAATTGCCAAGTCATATATACGTAAAACTCTTTGTTGCCAAATGACTTACAGTAAAAATGCACTGTATAGCTAGCGGACACATTTTGCAAAATAAACAGAAATGCCATAAAATTCCTCTTCTAACAGGAAAATTGAAAAGAAGCCAAGCATAAGGCATTAACTTAAATACCTCTCCATTGACTGAGGAGATAGATCGATAAATTCTTAACGTGTTTATGTTTTTAAATGAATTTAGATGATTTAAAAAAAAATGTAAACGGGAAAAAAGACTCCTATAGCAATATGAATCTTACCGCTACAAACAAGGTCTTTGATTACTTCACTAGCTAGGTCAAAAATAAGTCCACTGACAGGAACATTACAAACTGCTGAAACATGTTTCACACATGTCCAGTACGAATCAATAGAACTGAAATGAAATCAAATATAAATTACACATTTACTAGTGTTTCATCAAATGCGTAGGTATGTTAAGGCAGTACCCAGATCATATTTCGTCGAATTTAGACTTTTTTTTCGTAAAATGTAACATTGATAAATCATAAAAGCCATGGGTTAAACATTTACTATATTATCCATTGTATAGACGTCATTAAGTCTTAGGCTAAAAGAAGCACTCCACTTCGACGTCATCAAGTCACCCGCGTGGCGCAGTGGATAGAGCGTTTGCTCTAGAGTCGCGGTTTAAGGAGTTGATCCTTAAGTCGCGGGTTCGAATCCCACTGTGGGACGTGGAGACCGGTCCTTCGGATGAGACCGTATAAACCGAGGCCCCGTATCGCTGTAGGTGCTGGCATGAAAAAGATCCCTCACTGCTCAATGGCCCTAGGTGCCGAGTATAGGTCAAAATTTGCAGCTCTCCACCGGCAAGTGGTGGCGTCTCCATATGAGTGAAAAATTCTCGAGAGGGACGTTAAACAACAATAAACAATAAACGACGTCATCACGTGACGTCTATAAATAGAAAAAAAATGCCTTAATGAAAAAGTGAAAAGTTCAACACTACCCCGGGGATAATTCATTACTTTTTGTGAAAATAATTATGTAAAAGCATCATTGGGTCATGAAAAGTGCTGCTAGAACCCTACTCTCCCGACAAAGAAAAAAATATTCCAAAGTTTCGCATGAAACCTTACCAAAAGTATTACATTTTGTACAAAAGTTAAAAGAATTCTCATCAATTCATGTTACATCTTGCTAGATTCTAGCAGCACTTTCAAAGTACTATAGAATACAAGCTTTCGCTACAAACAAAAATTATGTCTAAAAGTATGCGGCTTAGTGTTGAACTTTTGCAACTTTGTTGTTATAGAACAACAGGGGAAAGTCTGATCGGGATTTCAAAGCACTGCCTGTGTTCATTATAAGAAAACATGATAAGAATACATCAGCGTACCTGATTCTTAATCTTTGATTCCTTATGAATCACACATAATATTCATGGTATATGCTTTAAAACTCCCATTTCATATATTTGTTTACATGAATTCTCGTCACGTTTAATTTTCACTCGGCAAATATTTGATCAATAGTTATGACTTCACGGGTTTGGTATTTAACCCCCCTGATAAATACTTAGCTATTTATACCATCCAAAAACGACAAGATTTGTTTTATATTATGTTTTTGAATGATTCAATTCATTTCTTGGACGTAAGAGCATGCTCTACGTAGGCACAATTTCTAAAACGAGGTAAATTATTGACAAACAAGTTGATGAAAGAAGAATATCAGCTGTCTCGTTTAAAGTCATCATTTCGTAAGTTCTATGGTCGATACAATGACCTTGTCAGCAAATACAATTTATCATTGAGTCAAATGCTGACTGACGTTCTTCATACTAATTGTTAGGCCTTTATTTACACACTGAATTTTGACGGATTTTTCCGTTATTTCCCGATCATGACAAGGAACACACGGCGGATGTGACCGGTCGGCAGTGGATGCTCACTCCTCCATGGCACCTGATCCCACCTCTAATGTTTGGAGGTCCGTGTTTGCTCTGCTCGTTTTTTGTATTGTTTGATGGACTTTTGAGCTTGAATACTGTTCGTTATCTCCATATATTTCAATGGACCTGAAATTAAACTTTAAATATAAAAAGTAAGAAATCATTATTTCTAAGCTTCACGTCATATAGCTTACTATGACGTCATATTGTTGAGGCAAATAGAATATCTCTGGGTGTAGCCTCAACATACCCGCGTGAAAGATTTAAAAGATTTTTAAACATTTTTTAAAACACGAATACGTTCCCTAGATTAAAAAAATACATTTAAACTTTTCAGGTATATTTAGTTCTTTTTAATATTATTCGGATGAACTTGATATATTTCTTTGGACGCTAACTTGTTTGTGTTGAGAAATAATGTTTTCGTGAGGAATGATTCGTACTGTCGTATAATAGTAACTTACGAGCATTTCAGTCGATCGTCCAATGCGGCATTCAGCACTGCAGGCAAGCAGTTTCGAAGAATTGATTTGTACGTCTCGGAAATACCACATGGTTTCTCGCAATCCACTTAGCAAAATTAAATGACTTTAAAAAAGGTAGAAATGTCCTTATTCCTATAAAACTACAGTAATTGCATTTCAATATAAAAAAAAATCATCAAAACTTAAATTACTAATAAATTCAGCAAATTACTTAATATTCATATGTTCATTGTACTTTATAAATTATAAACACTTTCAAAAGCACCATTAAGTTTACCTTAGAATTTCTAATTCAATTAGCTGACCTTATGTTGTAAAATCCTCTTTAAATAAGTGTGAGAAATTTGCATGGTTCATCGATTGCATATCTGAAATAATCTCGTTTAAAAAATGTATGTCAGTAACAACGTAATAGAAATAAAACCATTACCTGGTATTGTCATAAAGCATGAGAACAAAAAGACAACGCACAACATACTTTTTGCAAAAATTAAATTCTCCATCACAAAAATGTTCATCAGATTGAATTTCCTGGTCATTTATTTGGAGAAAATTTTAAGAATGCGCACAATGCATTTCTTTATCCTTTTCTGAGAAAAAGAATTCTTCAAAGTTTTTCTTTTACCATAAAAAGGCATAGGTTATACACAATAAGCAAAAGGCATTTAAAACACCGCTTTGTTGCGTAAAAAAAGGCCATGCTAAAACGAAACCAGCCTTTCGATTAGTGGGACTTAAAAATAAAATACTAAGAATGAATCATAAGTTCCTTTTCTGTTTAAAGAATTATATTACTCATGAGGAATTTCATTTCAAATTTTACAAATCATTTTGTTATCTACACAAATAAATTGGTGTATGGACACTTTTGAAATACCCACGTCAGAGTATAAAAAAAATATATAAATACTTGGATTCTTATGTTACTTCTTATGAACAAAATATACATGCATGTTATCTGCAAGAATTAATAAAAGAATACTTCAGAAGTAGATCTAGACCCTTTAGGAAATAAAAGAAGTGTTAAAAATCAACTGATGTATGAAAATAAAAACGGACCCCTTGAATTTCCAGTACCGAGAAAGAAAGTCAGGTTGTATTAGAAAAAAATCGTCAATATAACAATCTTAGAATTTGCAAAAAGCTGACTTTAAATAGGGTTGCTAAAATCATTGTAACTTCAACTTATTTGTCAGTAGCTTGCCTTGGTTGAAAAACTAATCATACTCAAGGCCTGCTTTTGTAAATCAGTTTGGAGACATGAAGACTGTGTGAAAATGATGTTGGAATTTTACTATATGTACTTAGGAAAGGGAATTTGACAAAGCTGAAGTCATAAAAGAAATAAACGCCAGCAATCGAATTGCTGTTGTATATAACGGTTGCAATCATTACAAATTAAAAGGAAAACCTGCAACATCACGGGTTGTTTTTTTTTAATATTGCAACTATTAATTTTCATATAAGACAATAGATAAAGCTTTTTTTTAAATTGTAATCAAATAAGAATTTAACATTCCAGTAAACTTTCATGTAATTTATCTTTGAGAAAAATCGCGACTGGCTAATAATTTATTTAATTAAAGTTAAGGTCTTTATTTTGAAAGATACCTTACAACTATTAATATTTTTTTTAGTTTTTGTACGTCATTATGACATTTTATTTTATGCTCTTATGCACCATCTGCATTTATTTCGATTAATGCTCTAGAAAAGTAATTTGCATGAGTAATTCAATAATTCATCGGTTTCAAACCCGTTTTGATACGTTGATTGCTCACTTTTGGTTTTGCTATGGTTAAATAATTATTTTTCTTGTAAGATATTTAATTTCAGTATACACTTATAAAAACCTCTTACATTTGCATGTAATTAAAGACAGGTATCTTATTGAAACTGATTTGATGACCTTCAAAATATTTTATGTTGAAGGCTACTCAGTGTTGAAACCGTATCCAATTCTTTTTAATTAAATAGAAGATATGTTACACAAGAAAAATACAAGCATTTCGTTATGATGAAATTCATCCTACTCCTATGCGTTATTGGGTTTCATATGTCTTTTTTCTCGACGATTACGAATTTAAATACCATACATGAAACAAGAACATATGGATCATATGTGACGTTTAAATGACTTTTTTCTGAAAGTTTAATCTGTTTATTATTTTTACCTAAACAAAGTTCAAGATGAGAAGAGGAAATCTTTAGTCATGGGAAAGTATGTTAATTTCCAAGTAATATTGCGCAGTTGGGTCAGTTGTGTTATCATTACTTTCAGTTTCGGTTTTCAATGACTTTCTTTAACAGTTTCGTATATATGTTAATTGTTAATAACGTTTAAATGTTCAAGATGAGAAGACAAATCTTTAGTACTGGGAAAGTATATTGATTTCCAAGTAAAACTGTGCAGCCAAGGCAGTTGCATTATCATTATTTCAGTTTCAGTTTTCATTTGGAAAATGTCACCTGTATAAATTTGGAAGTTAACCAAACAGTAACGAACAATAATTGAGCTTATTTCAATATTTAAGTACATTTCTTAGAAATTATTTATTGGCAATATCTATTTCGACATCTTCTTGATTTGAACATACTTTTTGCAAGGAATGTATACGATGGGATTGGGCAAAAGTTCTGAAATCTCAATTCGCTCTCTCCCTTAAAGCATGTCAATTACACATCCTCCACAATTTGTACAAAATGAATTCAGTTAACTCACATCATTAAATATATGTTGCCTAAGTACGATATTTAATTGAAAAGAGTAAAACACATTAAAAAGATAGATTTGGGTGCCATTCTGAGTTACACTTTAATAAATTGTTGCATTCATATAGTTAAAATTTATTTATTGTTATTTGTTTCATTTTTGATAATATTTTTTTTTATTTCATTTCAGAAAATATAGAAACTTCGAATTTTATCATTATATTATAGTATTACATCAGTTTTAAAAATAAATATATCATGAGGACATTTTAATTTATACAACAGGTGGTGTGACTTATCTAAACAATAGGAATGTGAAACTTTCTTAATGATATTATATTTCTTATCTTGAATTATAAAAAAGTTCTTATATATATATATATATATATATATATATATATATATATATATATATATATATATATATATATATATATATATATATATATATATATATGACTGCCGTCATGAGAAAAGGGTCCTTATCTTTTGACGTCACAATGCTCAGAAAACGACGTCAAAGTCGCGTTATTGTAAACACGGAAGTAATTTTTGTCGATTGCGTTTTGTGAACAAAAAATAAAATTGGATTTCCAGGTGTTACAAGAAAACCATTAAATCATATGAAATTTGATGCGGACATTTTTAATAAATAATATAATTACACACTAGTGAATGCATTTATTAATTATTCTGTTTAGGTATTTAATTGATATTGATCACATAATTACGCTAAGTGCAACATTGAACTCATTGTTAATTACGACGATTTATAGCGATGTGTATATATGATGCATGGCTTAAGTTTTCTGAGCAATTTGCAAATGCTTAAATTTGACTCATATTAAGTCTTAATATTAAATGGTATTCTGCATACATGTATATTTTTTTTTTAGAGAGAGAGGGAGAGCAATAAACGTAAATGTATACACTTCTTAATTAATTCTAAAAAAAAACACCTAATGTAAAATGTACTTAGCCATTTTAATTGATCCACAGTTAATAATATCGATATGCGCAGTTAGACCAGCTCACCAGCTTAGGGTGAAGCGTCGATATCCAAATGTGTTTGAGAGGGAGGAAAAGGGGTGGGGCGCAGATCATTGAAAAGCAAGAAAAAATCTCCTGATAAAACAGCAATCGGTAAAAGTTCAATCTAAAAAAGAGAACCTATTTTTTGTGGGGGGAGGGGGGATATAGTACTGGTATTTGGCATTATGGGAGATTCGAACCTCCTACTACAGCAACGAATAAGGGGGGGGGGGGCAAACGGCCCCGATATAGAAATTTCTTTTCTAAGTTAACAGCAAGAGAATATGCTAAGGGGAAAAAAGGAAGAGGGGGATGCCACGGAAATTTTGCAAAAAATAAATTATGATTTTGAAATGATCTAATAAATACATTAAAAAAGTAGTTTCTGATAAAAATGACTATTGTATCAATTTTCTTAGATTGTTCCGGTAAAGGCTGACGTGAAATTGAATTGCAATACATTTAGGATATAGATACAGCTTATGCGGACTTTTTCCAAAAGCATTATGATCAATGTTGAAGAAAATAACAATTACATCGACGGTGATATTAGGATTAAAAATATTTGTGAAACAGAAGAAGCAACAGGTTAAACAACAGATTAGGCTGTAAAGAAATTACAAACTTCTGAACAATGTTGATATGGCGACATCTTTAAGAATAAATCACTGATAGAGGAATAAGTACTAGTTACAAGTGGTTATGGGTGTCATATTCAAATGTTAACAAAACTTTCAAAAACATCAACCACACCAGTCGTAAGACAACAAAGACAGTGAAGAAATCTGTATTTTGATAAAGATGAAAAAAAAAATTAACACCGCTGATGTTTCGAGCGGAAAAACTGAGGTCCAGGCAAAACTCTGATAGCCATAAAATATACTAAAAAGGCATTTTTTTGGCTGACTGTTGCACAGGCACTTGACGTTTTTAACCTTTCTTTTCATAAATAAATTTCTCCATAGTATAATAGTATGGAGAATTTTTTATATATGTAAAGAAAGGTTAAAAACGTCAAGTGTCTGTGGACTGTTGTATTCATGTACATTTGTATGTAATAAATTAGTCACGTTTTGTGTTGAAATATTGAACGTTGAGTCTCAGCTCTGATATCTCGATACCCCGGATATCTCGACATTTTTTGAAAGTTCCGTTGATGTAGGAATACTGAAGGAAAAATATTAAAAAAGCACACACATCTTTCTGATTTTAAAGAAAAAAAAGTTCCTATTTCAGTCGTGTGGTAACAGGCAAAAATAAGAGTCATGCTCTTTAATTTCGAGATTTTGACAAATTGTTATTTTTTTGAAACAATAACTGGGAAAAAATGGTTTGTCTATTTTATCCTTAGCTTTCAAGACAAAAGCAGATACTAAGTCGATCGCCCATGAAGTTCAAGTTAGAGTGGTAGAGTTACAAACATTCAATGGGATATTGCTTAACCGAATCGCCTCATATACAAAAAAGTATAAACATGTGTGTTGGACGTAATATTTAATTATTGTTTAAGAATATAATTTTATGTACATTTCATCGCATCGAAAAATGAATAGATTAGGTGTCAAGTTAGCTGATGCCACAGAGGAAGATGAATAGATGGTCTTGATTATGTTCAAATACATATATTCAAGCAGGTCCGGTCCGTAGTTAGTTTTAAAAGTTCGAGGGGGGGGGGGGGGGGGGGGTCGGGGGAAGGCAGCTTCCTCCAAAGATCTGAAAAGCAAAAAAAAAAA